TCAATATATGTATAAATGTTATAGGTTGTTGCACAATTTGATCAATTGTTTGATATGCAATCTGCTTGTTGTACCTGTCTTGCTGAACTTTCATATGATTATACAAATGGACAAACAATAATTGAACGAAATGGTATTTATATTTTAGCAATGCTTCTCTTTCCTGAAAATGAAGATTTTCTTCGATTAGAAAGATTCAATCATTTACAAGTAAATTATTGAGAAAATATTATTATAATTTATTTAAGCTTATTTATTTATTTTTCTCTTTTCATAATAGCGTACTGTTTTTAAAACATTAAGATTTTTATTTTCATTAAATAAAAAACATGATCAATATCAATATAAACGATTATTTCCAGTACAAATATTTGAATTATTTGTTGGTATTGGCAATTTTCGAAGTGATCCTAATGCATATAAAGAAATAACTAATGCTTGGAATTCAATTCATATTGATGAATTAATAAAAATAAAAGTTGAACGTCTTCAATCCATTAATCCTAAACAAGAGCCAACACGATTTATTCGAGATTATGGAGTTTATGAATGTCTTGGGTCAGGCGCATTTGGATCTGTTTATCGAGTAGCTCAACGAGGTTCAACGACAATGTATGCACTCAAAGAGGTTCGATATTTTGTTGCTGCTTTTTTTTGCTATCATTCAATTCTATTTCTGCACCATTAACCTTTTATTGTTTAAAGAATGAAAATAGTTGTTTTAATTCAATACATAGTCAGTTAGATTTATGACAGTAGTTGTTGTTGTTGTTGTAGAAGACATTTTCTTACTCGAGAACTTTCTAAGATCATCATCATAGACGAATTTATCTAATTGTTGCATTACTTCTCCAAATTATGATTCTGAATGTAATAAAAAGTTGTATTCAACAAGATATATGTAAACCGCATAAACTAATAGAATGATCCCACGAAAAGTAAGAATATTAGGTACTCTATAGTACACGATTACATAGAAATTTACAATATGAATTTATTAAAATACTTAGTGTAAAATGAAAGCCATATTCATAACCGATGATATGAAGCAGCTCGTAAATAACATATATAATTAAGACAAAAAAATTAGCATAATCTTTTAACACAAACAAATATCATTGTAATGGTGTAGCCAACTCTGGATCATTGGGCTGTCGCCTATTAAAGTTCGACGCTTTGGTGAATAACTCGAAGCGAAGAATCGAACCGTAATCAATTTTTTAAAACTTCTTGAAATAGAAACCGTTAAATCATCAGATAGATACAAAAGTTTTAAAAATCTATGTAGAGAAATCTTTATTTTGTTATTTTTTTTTTTTTTGAGACTAAAAGTTTTAGTGTATGTGTATAATATTATTTTGTTTAAGTACCAAAATATATAACGTACGTCCTTAATATCAACAATTTAAAATAGTGAATATTTATCGACATAGATTAAAAATTTTCCTATCTATCTGATGATTTTACGGTTTATGTTTCGGATAATTTTTGGAATCGCCGAATTCTATCGCTCACTAATCAAAAGCTTATTGTCCAGGAATTTCTTATGATGGTTACAATTACTAAATAGTTCAATAGTAACTGTATACAGATTTTGTTTAAAGTAATGACAGCTGACCACACCTCAAAATAGATTGGTTGGATAATTGCCCATTATTCAAAACTTCCTGACTACATCATAAATGTTTCATAGTATCATCAATAATATTTACTTTTGTTTTTCACTAGCAAGTTTTCGTGCACAACTGTCCGTTCTCTCTAGTAGCTTAGTGCTGATTAAAACTTACACATGTCTATTTTAATTTAGATCGATAATCGTTCATTAGGAATCGATACAGATCGAAGTTTAGGTAAAATGATAAATGAAGTGAATATAATTCGTGAAGAACTTCGTCATCCAAATATTGTTAGTTATTATCAAATATTTGCTGAAAGTAAAAATTATGAAATTCTTTTTTTTTTTAATTTTTCATTTGAAATATTAATGTCTTTTATCAAAATTTATAGATGATAAATTATATATCAAAATGGAATTAATTGCTGGTTCATCATTACAAGATCATTTATCATTAATTAAAGATACAAATCAAAAAATGTCTGAAGATAATATATGGCGAGTTTTGATTCAACTTATACTTGCATTAAGATATTTACATAAAGAAAAAGGAATTGTTCATCGAGATTTAACAGCCAATAATATTATGTTAGATGATGAATATAGAGTTAAAATTAGTAAGTATTATATATCTATCTTAGATAATAAAGTTTATCTAGAAAATTTGAATAGAAGTTGAGCGCGGCAACAATAACATATTGTTTATTTAAATTTACACTGATAATATAGATAATTACAAAATATCTGATTTAAATGTTTGCTATTTATCTCCATTTATTCTGTTATTGAAATATTAAAAATTCGTTGAATAAATTACGAGAAAAATTTCTTCGAAAGTGTAAACCATGAAATTTGATGTCACTGTTAAATAATAAGTTCATATCAATCTTAAGGAATCCGCTGAACGATTTATTGATAATAAAAGTCTATTAGAAATATTTCAGATCAATTGATCTTTTGTATTAGTCAATTAAAAATAACGAGGGAAGTCTTCCAACTGATAAACTATTTTTGAGTTTAGACTATTTTGATTATAGAAGTCCAAGTGAGTTATGAGTTTTCTGAAAACAGTTCAGACCCTTAATTTATTGTTGCTAAGATACTACGTTTTTACGGTAGTGTTTAAATGAATATTGTGATCCCTCCCTGAAAAACTGATTTTCGAATTTTAATTTGAACCGAGGCTCAGAGACAAATTAATGATAATAGGTTTTTGTGAATGTTTCAAAACTTGTCATTGTTTGTATTTTACGACACAACTATAGTAGAAGCATGTCTTTTACATTCTTATATATATAACGGTAAATTCGATGTTCTTATTTCAAAATAAAAGCAAATCAAAAGACTTGAAATGTTCACAAGAAACTATATTCCATCGTTATAGAAGCTTTCAAGTTGAAACTCAAAATTCAGTTGTACTGATGTTTCTAACAAGACTACGGCATTTGTTTAAAAACTACCGGTAATTTGTAATATCTTTGCAAAAGTAAGTTAAGAGTCCGAACTCTTCAGGATATAGAAAAATCATTTAGGGCTATATGATGCACTTACGAGGGAACATTCCCAGGCGTTGGAACGCTTTTTAGTCGGGACTTTATGCATCTTATAGGCCTTGATGAATTATGTCTACCGTAAAAAAAGTTCGTGCCCCTAGCTTGTTCCTAGTGAGATATCGAGGTTTTAGTGAATTTTTCCTATAAGACCCCACATTTGCAGCAAGGCTATATTTTTTAATTTTGATCTGAAACTTTGTCCACATAAACAACTCAGCTAGACTAGTTTGTACAAAAATTTTCAGAACTTTTGGACAAAGTCTTTCCGAGATATGAAGCTCTCAACGTATAGGCTGTTTTCCATAGATAGCGTATAAAGCATGCATTTTTTTTTGAAAGCTTCATATCTCGGAGAGACTTTGCCCAAAAGTTCTGAAAATTTTTATGCAAACTAGTCTAGCTGAGGTGTTTATGTGGACAAAGTTTCAGATCAAAATTAAAAAATATGGCCTTGCTGCAAATGTGGGGTCTTATAGAAAAAATTCACTAAAACCTCGATATCTCACCAGGAACAAGCTAGGGGCACGAACTTTTTTTTACGGTAGACATAATTCATCAAGGCCTATAAGATGCATAAAGTCCCGACTAAAAAGCGTTCCAACGCCTGGGAATGTTCCCTCGTAAGTGCATCATATAGCCCTAAATGATTTTTCTATATCCTGAAGAGTTCGGACTCTTAACTTACTTTTGCAAAGATATTACAAATTACCGGTAGTTTTTAAACAAATGCCGTAGTCTTGTTAGAAACATCAGTACAACTGAATTTTGAGTTTCAACTTGAAAGCTTCTATAACGATGGAATATAGTTTCTTGTGAACATTTCAAGTCTTTTGATTTGCTTTTATTTTGAAATAAGAACATCGAATTTACCGTTATATATATAAGAATGTAAAAGACATGCTTCTACTATAGTTGTGTCGTAAAATACAAACAATGACAAGTTTTGAAACATTCACAAAAACCTATTATCATTAATTTGTCTCTGAGCCTCGGTTCAAATTAAAATTCGAAAATCAGTTTTTCAGGGAGGGATCACAATATTCATTTAAACACTACCGTAAAAACGTAGTATCTTAGCAACAATAAATTAAGGGTCTGAACTGTTTTCAGAAAACTCATAACTCACTTGGACTTCTATAATCAAAATAGTCTAAACTCAAAAATAGTTTATCAGTTGGAAGACTTCCCTCGTTATTTTTAATTGACTAATACAAAAGATCAATTGATCTGAAATATTTCTAATAGACTTTTATTATCAATAAATCGTTCAGCGGATTCCTTAAGATTGATATGAACTTATTATTTAACAGTGACATCAAATTTCTTGATTTACACTTTCGAAGAAATTTTTCTCGTAATTTATTCAATGAATTTTTAATATTTCAATAACAGAATAAATTGAGATAAATAGCAAACACTTAAATCAGATATTTTGTAATTATCTATATTATCAGTGTAAATTTAAATAAACAATATGTTATTGTTGCCGCGCTCAACTTCTATTCAAATTTTCTAGATAAACTTTATTATCTAAGATAGATATATAATACTTACTAATTTTAACTCTATATTCATCATCTAACATAATATTATTGGCTGTTAAATCTCGATGAACAATTCCTTTTTCTTTATGTAAATATCTTAATGCAAGTATAAGTTGAATCAAAACTCGCCATATATTATCTTCAGACATTTTTTGATTTGTATCTTTAATTAATGATAAATGATCTTGTAATGATGAACCAGCAATTAATTCCATTTTGATATATAATTTATCATCTATAAATTTTGATAAAAGACATTAATATTTCAAATGAAAAATTAAAAAAAAAAAGAATTTCATAATTTTTACTTTCAGCAAATATTTGATAATAACTAACAATATTTGGATGACGAAGTTCTTCACGAATTATATTCACTTCATTTATCATTTTACCTAAACTTCGATCTGTATCGATTCCTAATGAACGATTATCGATCTAAATTAAAATAGACATGTGTAAGTTTTAATCAGCACTAAGCTACTAGAGAGAACGGACAGTTGTGCACGAAAACTTGCTAGTGAAAAACAAAAGTAAATATTATTGATGATACTATGAAACATTTATGATGTAGTCAGGAAGTTTTGAATAATGGGCAATTATCCAACCAATCTATTTTGAGGTGTGGTCAGCTGTCATTACTTTAAACAAAATCTGTATACAATTACTACTGAACTATTTAGTAATTGTAACCATCATAAGAAATTCCTGGACAATAAGCTTTTGATTAGTGAGCGATAGAATTTGGCGATTCCAAAAATTATCCGAAACATAAACCGTAAAATCATCAGATAGATAGGAAAATTTTTAATCTATGTCGATAAATATTCACTATTTTAAATTGTTGATATTAAGGACGTACGTTATATATTTTGGTACTTAAACAAAATAATATTATACACATACACTAAAACTTTTAGTCTCAAAAAAAAATAACAAAATAAAGATTTCTCTGCATAGATTTTTAAAACTTTTGTATCTATCTGATGATTTAACGGTTTCTATTTCAAGAAGTTTTAAAAAATTGATTACGGTTCGATTCTTCGCTTCGAGTTATTCACCAAAGCGTCGAACTTTAATAGGCGACAGCCCAATGATCCAGAGTTGGCTACACCATTACAATGATATTTGTTTGTGTTAAAAGATTATGCTAATTTTTTTGTCTTAATTATATATGTTATTTACGAGCTGCTTCATATCATCGGTTATGAATATGGCTTTCATTTTACACTAAGTATTTTAATAAATTCATATTGTAAATTTCTATGTAATCGTGTACTATAGAGTACCTAATATTCTTACTTTTCGTGGGATCATTCTATTAGTTTATGCGGTTTACATATATCTTGTTGAATACAACTTTTTATTACATTCAGAATCATAATTTGGAGAAGTAATGCAACAATTAGATAAATTCGTCTATGATGATGATCTTAGAAAGTTCTCGAGTAAGAAAATGTCTTCTACAACAACAACAACAACTACTGTCATAAATCTAACTGACTATGTATTGAATTAAAACAACTATTTTCATTCTTTAAACAATAAAAGGTTAATGGTGCAGAAATAGAATTGAATGATAGCAAAAAAAAGCAGCAACAAAATATCGAACCTCTTTGAGTGCATACATTGTCGTTGAACCTCGTTGAGCTACTCGATAAACAGATCCAAATGCGCCTGACCCAAGACATTCATAAACTCCATAATCTCGAATAAATCGTGTTGGCTCTTGTTTAGGATTAATGGATTGAAGACGTTCAACTTTTATTTTTATTAATTCATCAATATGAATTGAATTCCAAGCATTAGTTATTTCTTTATATGCATTAGGATCACTTCGAAAATTGCCAATACCAACAAATAATTCAAATATTTGTACTGGAAATAATCGTTTATATTGATATTGATCATGTTTTTTATTTAATGAAAATAAAAATCTTAATGTTTTAAAAACAGTACGCTATTATGAAAAGAGAAAAATAAATAAATAAGCTTAAATAAATTATAATAATATTTTCTCAATAATTTACTTGTAAATGATTGAATCTTTCTAATCGAAGAAAATCTTCATTTTCAGGAAAGAGAAGCATTGCTAAAATATAAATACCATTTCGTTCAATTATTGTTTGTCCATTTGTATAATCATATGAAAGTTCAGCAAGACAAGTACAACAAGCAGATTGCATATCAAACAATTGATCAAATTGTGCAACAACCTATAACATTTATACATATATTGAATGAAACCTTAATTTTATATACTATTTAAATCTGAAAAATAAATAAACATTTAGCAGATTAGTTTTTTTTTTGATTGTTACAATTTCGTTGCTTCTACCCATGTAAAAAAAATATGTAAAAAAATCAATTTTAATAATCAAAAAATCGATTAAAAATCGATTTTAATCATACACCTTTA